TGCACGCTCCCTCAAAACTTGCGACATCTGTGGCATTGTGCTGTGTGATAAAACTGAACATTTTAGAGTGGCCTTTTATTGTGGCCAGCCTAAGGCACACCTGTGCAATAATCATGCTGTCTAATCAGCATCTTGATATGCCACACCTGTGAGGTGGGATGGACTATCTCGGCAAAGGAGAAGTGCTCACTAACACAGATTTAGACAGATTTGTGAACAATATTTGTGAGGAAATGGTCTTCTGTGTGTATAGAAAATGTTTTAGATCTTTGAGTTCAGCTCATGAAAAATGGGAGCAAAAACAAAAGTGTTGCATTTATATTTTTGTTCAGTGTATACATACATATAGATATATATAGATATAGATATAGATATATATAGGCATTTGAAGTCATTTGCTTCGCTTTGTCATAACTGTGTCATCTGAATATTTGTCTCATATTGACCAAAGTTTTGTCCAACAATGGTCAGTTGTATCAGGACTAAAAATTGGACTCCTAATTTTAAGTCATGGGAGAGGAACCGAATACAGCCCCATGGTTCCATCATGAAGTCAGACTGTCACACCATCACATGCACATAATATACAATGTCAAACAGGCCATGCCTCTGTTTGCAGTCCAGTCACTGAGCTCTTTGTTTCACACAGCTAGGCTTAGCCATTCCTCAAAGGTCATACACTCAATAACGAGTTTATTAGGTACACCTAGCTCAAACTAATGCAGCAGTCCAGTAATAAATCCTTCCTTCTTGAAGAATATAATGTTGATCTTTTGTTGAAACTGTTTTAGAGAGGTGTTGTTTCAACTTCATATTTTTTTAGTATTTTGGAGGATGTAGTTTGTGGTGCTGTTGAAATGTCTTACACTGACAGGCAGAGAAACCCAGGCCTAATCAATCAACTTATTACGTTCTACAGACTCTGTTTTGCTAATACCAACTGACAACTGACCCCCACTCCTGCAGCAAGTGGTGTCCTCTTCCCTACCCCACACCACAAATCCACACGCTGACTGCCTGCACACGGCGCAAGAGAAAGGGGGGAGAGATTACATTAAGTTTTCAGGCTGTCCTTCTAGACTTACTGTAGGCATCTTGTTCCATTGCTCATTGGGAGTTCTTTGTACTGCTGTGTTGACTTAACGGATGAAGTAAAAGCATTTTGTTGACAGAATAACAAACCAATAAGATAAACTTTTTGTGATTCTTCAATGAAACTTAAATGCCATACAGCATTTGGAGCCTCGGTTACACTGCCACCTGTTGGAGATCCCAATACAGTCCAAAGCAGTCCAACTGACCTATGCTGAAGTACAATTAAACCAGCCGCTCTAACAAAACAAAAAGATCATTGGTGATTGTTATCAGTGGCGCATGAAAAATGATCAGGGCATCCTTACTTCTAAGTATATACATACTTGGCCAATAAGGCTGACTCTGAACTCTGATGCTGACACTAAACCAATCTCTCAGTACATGTGATGCAAACTGCACTTTCTGAGAGAGCTCTTCAGCCGGCACTTCAAGCTTTGCTAATTTTAATATTGGCCTTCTAGGTTTTAAAGGGAAAATTCCGTTTTTTTACAACCTGGACCTTATTTCTGGCATTAAATACGGTTGTTTACTCACCCAGATAAGTTTGGTGTCATTTGGAGTCCTTCGGAAGATATTTAGATCCGCGAGAGCCGCGTACATCCATATAGTGGGAATGATCGGGGCAACGACAAAGAGGCTCTAAATAACACATAATCTGCAACGAAACTCGTTCATTTCACCAATATGTTTTTATGAATCGCTAGAGTTGCTTGTCATCATCATCCGGGTCATTTATACTGACCTACTGACCTCTGACCTGGATGATGATGATGATGCGCGCGCCGCCACACACCCGCAGCACGGCTCTGTTTACAACTGGAATTTGCTACTGTTAGTTTTTTGAAACATGGCTGAATATTGGTCAGATTTTGAGGTTGTGGACGACGACTTTGAATATGATGGACGTCCTTACTGTTTTGAGCCGGAGTATACGGATGAGGAGCTCTTTGAAAGGAGGATGCGGAGGCAGAGAGAGGAACAGCTGGCCAGAGAACAACAAACCGCTGCACGTCTGAGAATAGATGCTAACTGGTGGCGTTCTTGTGGACAATGTTCCACTATGCCAACAGAGGAGGAATGCCTTTGTTGCTCCGAGTGGGATTTGAGGCCAGGAGATACACGTCTGGATGTCTCCAGAAATGACTGTCTCACAACTACAGAGGATTTCACTTCTATGATCAACCGGGGTGTTTTTTTCGTGTCCCGAAAGTAAACTGGAAGACCCAGCCAAAGCCTGCAGGACCGAACGGGCAACTTGCGATTGAGTAAGTAGCCTACACACATGCATAAATTGTTTATTTTCCTTGAATTTGTTTGCTTGTTAAGTAAATAACTATGAGAATTTACATTTCTTTAGTTTCTTCTCATCGCTTGTGTAGAATGGCCCGCACACTGCACAAAAAGCAGAGGCACTTCTTATGCAAAACGTGAATTTATTATTACATAGTGCTCAGTGACAAAAAGTGAGAAACAGAAAAGTGAACGTTTCGGTGGTAAAGAGGACTGTCTTTACAAATTGCCTCTGATTTTTTTTTTTGTTGTTGCAGAGGTTAGTAGGTCAGTATAAATGACCTGGATGATGATCACAAGCAACTCTAGCGAGTCATAAAAACATATTGGTGAAATGAATGTGTTATGCGGCAGATAATGTGTTACTTAGAGTCTGGTGAGTAAACAACCGTATTTAATGCCAGAAATAAGGTCCAGGTTGTAAAAAAACGGAACTTCCCCTTTAAGTTCACTGCAAAGCTGTATTATGTAGAAAAATAAAATACACCATGGCCAGCAGGTTATAATCTGCCCATTCCATATAATGTAGCCTACTGTTAAACTGTAATTATTTCACCTCACCAAGCACACTAGATGATCAGCAAGTTAACAAGAGAAAATATTGAAGCATCAATAACGGGAGAAAAACTAAAACAGAGTGACTGGAAGGCTTTAATTGGGGCTTTGGGTAGCAATAACTAGTAAGTGGTTATAACACCTTAAGCCAACGGTAGTAATCCAAGCTGAGCTGCTTAACCCCAGCTACAATCCATGATCTCTGACAACTAACACCACAGGCAAAGACTTCTAGAAACTAAACAAAGACAAATTACCTTTAAATAGTAAATGTTTAGTTTTCCCCGACACAAAGTGGCTGTCAGATTTCCCCTTAAACAACAAAAACATTTCATTTTGGTAATACAAACCTACTTGGATGACTGGCAGAGAGATCTGAAGATTTTTCTGTCTCCAAGTTTTCGTATTAAATATGTACAGAGCTTAACTATCACAGAACGATCTGGAGTTCAGGGCTGTAGCTTTCACTTTACAACACATGATACAAGTTCTACAATCACTGCTGATTTCCCATGACAAAAAGTGCTGACTAGCAAAAGTAAACAGTTTCAATTACATAACGTTAAGCAAATGAAAATAGTGGGTCAAGTAAATGTAGCTGTAGCTAAATTCCATGTGGAGAAATAAAGCTTAAAAAAAAAAAAAATAGCAGCCTGACAGTGGTTGTGACGGTAATTTATTCAGTTAGCAGGGAGAGCAGACGTTTCCTCACATGCCACTAACTACATTAGCTCATATGGAAAACAGCGAGTTAACACAGTCACATTTTATTTGTTTACATCAGAGAGCTAGGCCTGCTAATGTTAGCTACCTAGCTGGCACGAAAGACAACGTTAGCTAAGAAACTTTAATTGAGACACAGACGCTTATGTGCACGTTCAAATGTACCTGACGTGTTGCTTTTGTCTTTATAGTTTTGCAGTGGACCTGCTGGGTCCGTACAAATCGCAGGATAATTGCGGGATAACGTTAATTGTTATATTTGCTAACCGATCGTGGAGACGGCGCTAGCTAGTCAAGATCTTCAGTGTTTTGCAGCGGAGACAAGCAAGACACAACGCATTTCAGTCGTACAAATTATACCTGACGTGAAAAACGCTCCTCAGATTGGTTAGATTTCAAGAGGATTATTGTGTAAACGTAACGTTTGCCGGGGTGCTGAGGCCTCAAGACGACCAAAGCTTGCTACACCCATCCACTGAATCAACCCATCTTACCTGCTCATCAAATCTAGTAATCACGGCCTGGACCCACTCCACTGGTTTGTGAGCCGCCATGGCCGGGCGGAGGGACACCGCGACGCTGTGCTGCTAAATCCAAGGTATGAGGCGTGAGATGACAGGCTTAACTGAGCATGGGAATCTGTCCTGAATCGATGGGAAAGGACGAAAGGGGCGAGTATTTTTCCCTTTCTGGAGGCTTCACCATGCCACCGCCATGACACACCACCGGAAGTCTTCTTCAGAGGAATTGATGGGAGGTATGGGAGAGTGGGGTCAAGCTAGCTGGAGTGAAAAAAGACCACTTCCAGGCACAATCTTAATGGTGGACATAGTTGACAAATTATTTTTCTAATTAACAAATACAAATGAACAGTAAAAACAAAGAACTCAAATCTACACTTAAAAAGGAAAGTAGGAATCCCTCAATTTCTGTTAAGTAGTATTATCTGTATTTCTAGCGTTTATGTTGTTTAGGACATCTTCAATCTGCTTTAAGGCTTCTTGAGCTGTGAAATGGACGTTTCAACGTCCGGGTTTTCAGCGGTAAAACCCTTCACACTGTGATTAACTTTAGATGTTCTGCTCAAACAACTGCAAGTTTTTTTTCCATGTGCGATTCGTTTCGTTTTATTTTGAAGTAAGATTTTCTGTACTTCCGCTGCTGAAACTCTGGCTCGTTCAGAGCTCATTTGTCAAATATACGATCAGGCCTATCAAAATGTTTTTAGTAATAACAATGGACTTAATTGCTTTAATATGATTCCTTCTAAAAAATTTTACAAACACGTGTACACAGTTTGGAGACTTAACACTTTCAATTCTAATTACCCACACACAGCAGTATTTTATGTATAGAATGTATAATAGGACTAAATAGATAGATAGATAAATATATATGTGTGTGTGTGTGTGTGTGTATCTATAA